AGACCCCCAACAGACCCCAAAAAATCAATATCAAAATCAATATTGAAATCAATATTTTCCCCAAAAAAAACAATATCCAAAATATTGAAATAATCAATATTTTTTGGAAAATCAATATCAATATTTTTTTATAGGAAAATATTGATTGTAATCAATATCGGATGCTCAGGGAAGAGTTTGTACTCCACATATTCCCATGGCTGCTGCTCGACGACCGCAACCTGCAACCCCTCCGGCTCTTCACCTGCGTCAGCAGCAGAAAATTGCTGCAAATTATCATAATTCACTAACTCTGCATAGCCCTCCACAGTTAGCGCTCCCGGCTGCAACGCCAAGCACCCGCCCGCACTGGCAGGGCGACAAAGGCGATCGAGAGCTTTTTCCAAACGGACACGGGACACCAAGAAGGGCACCCGCTGCTTGCGGTTTGGGTCTTTCGGGCAACGACGAATCAACAGCATCTTCATGTCGCCCACCACGGCCGGAATCTGACGCACATACTGTGGTCCATTTTGAAACAAATTCCCAACGTGGCCGCGCAGCTCGCACTGCCCAGTGCCATGCAAAGTGAAGATCCGCACAATGTGTTGAATCGGCGACAGCAGTTCCTCTTCAAAGAACGTCAAAGCATCCGTTTCTGGCAACGTGTCGCCAGGATCTGCAAAGTTCTCGGCAGTCAATCGAAATGGCTCCTTCGGCAAGCCATCTTGCGCTCGCTTTTTGGCATCTTTTAAGCACATTTCACAGATTGGTCTCTCGGGCTCAAGCCAATCTTTTTTCGGCATTTGCACAAAATTCGTTTTTTGGTAAGTTTGCGTTTCAAACTTCCCAGGCAACTGTGCTTTCGTCCGCTTGGTGCCAAACCATCCTTCGTGACAATACGAGCAGTCTTGAAATTCAAGCTCGTTCAAAAAAGTATCGACTTCATTGACACGATGGAAAAAAGCCATGCTGCGGCTTTCGGCATCTGCGGAATTTCCGTACAGTTGTCGCAAACTCTTCGGCAACCTGGGCCGTGGCAAGTTATCTCCCAAGACTGTCTCCCGGCTATGCAACTTGGCTTCATGCGATTTCTTCAGCGGCACAGTGGCTGATGCTGGCAAGAGCTGTCCTAGGGCATTTCTCACCATCTCTTTCGTCTCCTCTGTCAGACTCGGAAACGTGCGTTGCATGAAGTCATAACAACAACGAAGTTCGGCATCTCCTTTCATGGCGTGCACTGCAAACAAGGATTCAACACTTGCTGCGCCCAAGGATTGCAATTCTACTTTTCTGCGATCCAGGATCTGCATGAACGTGTCTACCGAATCAACTGCTGGAACACACAACAATGTTTCCCATTCCTGCAACTTAGCCTTCATATCTTCATCAAGGTTTTCATACCTCCGTCGCCAAAAATTTCGGCCAAATACATATTCTGGCTTACCTGTACGCTCAGCTGCACACATGAGTTGAAGCAGCGTAGACTTCTGCATCCCTTGCAACTCTTCTCTGTTATCTTCAAGAATGTTGACGAAACGATCGAACTCGGGCTGCGCAGCTGCATGCTTCACACATACCCGCCGTTCCAAATCCTTCCACTTTTCCTTTTCTTCTTCATTCAAACTCTCATATGTGTAGTTCTTCACAAAACGATAACAAATGCCTCCCCAAGTTCTGCTCTGTGAAACAGTCCAACTCATGCAGACATCCCGCAATGTACCTTTTCCCAAAGCCTTCATCTCCTCTACGTGCGCTTCTGCAGCAGCACAAAACTTCCGAAAGGCTGCTCGCACATCTGACACGCAGTTTTGTTTTTCCCATTCTTGTATCACCTGAGTCTGTTCGGCCGAAAAGGTTTTCTCAAGAGCAAGATACATCTTGTAATACTTCCAACATTTTCCGGTGCTTAGACAAGCTTTCAACGTCTTACATTCCAGCACCTTCAAAGTCGCCGCTTCCTTTTCGATGTATGACCACAGATCAGCAAAGGTCCCCGATTGTGCCATGGCTCCACCGCGTCTTAGGAAACGGGCCGCACTGCCACGTCTCCTTGCACACTGCGACGTCCGAAATTATGAGCATGGCTGTCTCATCATGCATACCTTTCTCATCCACTAACCACTCCAAAACATGAGAAAATCTTCGTGTCTAACCATGAGACCTGAAGACATGACACCTCTGACAAATGCACGTTCCCAATTCTTTCTTGCTACACATGTTTGCCTCCTGGAAAATGAAAACATCTGCGGCCACAACACATCGCCACCGTGGTTTCTAATCAAGAGTTCTATACCTTGTTCCTGAACATCAATGTCACAACATTTACCTACATCAATATCGCACACAAAACTCGAAATAGCAACCTACATCCACGAACTAGCTGACAAACTACTTACCAGTACTACTTCCCAGTATATACTACTTGGTACTACACAGCTTGCACCCAATACTACTTTGCACTACAAAGCTGGCAAAAATTACTTCCCAGTACTACTTTGTACCACAAAACTTGCACAGAGTACTCCCCAGTACTACTTTGTACTACAAAGCTTGCACAAAGTCTTTCCCAATATACTACAATTTGCAGCTCCAAAACTGGATCTCGACGCCAAAGCGAAAAAAACACGATTTTGAAACACTTTTTAAAAGCAATTTTAAAAGGAAAATTATTAACGCCAAAATTGAACAAATCTGCTGACAAATCACTTTCGCAGCCTTGATGCAGCCATTCCAATACGATGCGATCTTCAGCTGCAAAAGACGAAAGTATTACGCATGCAGCCGCTGCACCAAGCAACCTTGACGCAGCCACTACAATGCGATCTGCAGAGACTGAGTTGCAAAACACAAGAAAACTACGTGCAATGGCCTCGGAAATTGCAGCTCCAAAACCGGATCTCGACGCCCAAGCGAAAAAAATACGATTTTGAAGCACTTTTCAAAAGGAATTTTAAAAGGAAAATTATAAGCGCCAAAATTGAGACAATCTCCTGACAAATGACTATCGCAGCCTGGATGCAGCCACTCCAATACAGATTCCAAAACACCCTATAACTACGCACACACAAGCACACCCAAAGCAGCTTGAAGCCACTGTGACATTGCGGCAAAAAAAAAACGATACACCGACCGCAGCCGCAACCGTCGCACACACGAGGTACCTTTCATCGTCGCCTGCAGCCACTTCACACGGAAAAACACAAGGTTTCGTGCTCCGGCTTCCTCCCCAAAACATAACCCATGCAACATCATGCAGCCATTCCAATGGGATCTGCAACCACAGATTCCAAAACACCCTATGTATACGCACACACAAGCACACCCAAAGCAGCTTGAAGCCACCGTGACACTGCGGCAAAAAAAAAACGATAAATCGACCGCAGCGGCAACCGTCGCACACACGAGGTATACCTTTCATCGTCACCTGCAGCCACTTTACACGGAAAAACACAAGGTTTCGTGCTCCGGCTTCCTCCCCAAAACATAGCCCATGCAACATCATGCAGCCATTCCAATGGGATCTGCAACCACAGATTCCAAAACACCCTATAACTACGCACACACACACAACCACACCCAAAGCAGCTTGAAGCCACCGTGACACTGCGGCAAAAAAAAACGATAAACCGACCGCAGCCGCAACCGTCGCACACACGAGGTACCTTTCATCGTCGCCTGCAGCCACTTCACACGGAAAAACACAAGGTTTCGTGCTCCGGCTTCCTCCCCAAAACATAGCCCATACAAGATCATGCAGCCATTCCAATGCGATCTGCAAGCAGAGATTCCAAAACACCCTATAACTACGCACACACAAGCACACCCAAAGCAGCTTGAAGCCACTGTGACATTGCGGCAAAAAAAAAACGATACACCGACCGCAGCCGCAACCGTCGCACACACGAGGTACCTTTCATCGTCGCCTGCAGCCACTTCACACGGAAAAACACAAGGTTTCGTGCTCCGGCTTCCTCCCCAAAACATAACCCATGCAACATCATGCAGCCATTCCAATGGGATCTGCAACCACAGATTCCAAAACACCCTATAACTACGCACACACAAGCACACCCAAAGCAGCTTGAAGCCACCGTGACACTGCGGCAAAAAAAAAAACGATAAACCGACCGCAGCCGCAACCGTCGCACACACGAGGTACCTTTCATCGTCGCCTGCAGCCACTTTACACGGAAAAACACAAGGTTTCGTGCTCCGGCTTCCTCCCCAAAACATAGCCCATGCAAGATCATGCAGCCATTCCAATGCGATCTGCAAGCACAGCTTCAAGAAGCGCATAGAACTACGCACACAGGAACAACCACTCGTTGCAAAACACATAGGAGGAACAATTCGCGACAGAAACGACCCCAGCCGCAACCGCCGCACAGACGAGGTACCTTTCATCGCCGGCTGCAGCCACTTTACACGGAAAAACACAAGGTTTCATGCTCCGGCTTCCTCCCCAACTCACCCCTTCCCTTCCTCACCACTTCCCATCGTCACCACTTCACATCGTCACCACCTCCCTTCGTCACCACTTCCCTTCCTCACTACTTCCCTTCCTCACCACTTCCCTTCGTCCCCACCTCCCTTCCTCACCATTCCCCTTCATCATCACTTCCCTTCGTCACCACTTCCCTTCGTCACCACTTCCCTTCGTCACCGCTTCCCTTCGTCACCACTTCCCTTCGTCACCACTTCCCTTCGTCACCACTTCCCTTCGTCACCGCTTCCCTTCGTCACCACTTCCCTTCGTCACCACTTCCCTTCTTCACCACTTCCCTTCGTCACCACTTCCCTTCGTCACCACCCCGTCATTGTCACCACCCTTATTCTTTTGTTATGTATTGTTATGTTATGTATTGATATACGATCTACCGCCCTTCATCATTTCAAGTCTCAGAATTCTATTTGTCCGTAACACGGAAGTATTGCTTCCCAACTTCCTTTGACCATAAACCAAATCGCGGTTGATATTTCTGTTGGTTCCACTGAGGTCAAGCCCCCATTTTTTGCTCCTCATGCAACTGCTCGTCCAACGCGAGTTCAGCCTGGCGGGGCCCCATAACCCCAGTCTCTGTAGCTATAAACCAACTTTGCCATCTATAGCTTTGCCATCTCGGCCCACTATGTGGACTTAAAGCAGGGAAGATGCGAAGTTTTTGGAGAGTCTGTGGAAGTCTGCGTCTGATGTTTTTTTGGGAGAAGGGATAGATTTGTTTTTTGGGATACATGATACATATTATTCCATGGGATATTAATGGCTTGAATGGGATACTAAGAGGTGATTCTAGGGATATTAAGAGTGTAGGGATACTGCATTAATGGTGGTTGATGGAATTTCCAAGTAGGATAGGCTTGGATTCTATGCGATACATATTGATATATACTGTATCTATTGGGATATGGTGATAAAGAAATATAATTGATATGGGTATGGATCAATACCTATTAATACCATTTTTAGTGGGATGAACATCCATTTACCAGCTATTTTGATGTTCACCAGGGGTACAAGGTTTTGACACACTGCCATATGTCAGCTATTGGCACCTTGATTTACGATACGGTTGTATCAATCCCACAAATTTGTGTCCATTGTTTTGGTCGCACCAAAGCTTGACCAGAAAATGGAAGAATATTATACACTTAGTATAAACTTTATAAACCCATGAAACATGCCAATGCCACAAAAAAATCCCCAAGTCATCACCAATGGGTGGTATACACTTCCTATAAACCCGTGAAAAATGGTAGGTTTCCACCACTGCCTCCGTGGGCATCCCCAGGGAGATGGGATCCGTAACGCCAAACCTCCGCGGAGTCGGAGGAATGGGGATGGGAAAAACCATGGTACCCTTTGATTATTTAATGGGATTTAATGGTGGTTCAATGGTGGTTTAATGGGATTTAATGGGAGTTACCCCTCTGGTAAACGTTTACATAGCCATGAAAAATCACCATTTTTAATAAGTAAACCATCTATTTCTATGGGCCATCTATACCATGGCAAACTGTTAAATAACCAGATGGTACATCCAGCGGTTTTAGGCCTCGAATCATGGGAATATCATAAAGTTGTTCTTTGAAGATTCTGTAAACTGTCGAAGTTCGGATTTGGACAACTTATCTAACTTATCTAACTTAGGTTTGCTAACTAACTTATCGTCTAGGTGATTTTGCTGCCATGGTTCTAAGATACATTTTTTTTGAAACAAACGCGAAGAAAATGGGAAGATCTTTGAAGCCTCCATAGTTTCTTGTACTCCAGGGTCAACAAAAACTATGTGGACGCATGTATGGCACTCACTGTAATTGCAGACAAAATATGACAACGTATTGTATATTTACTAATACATGATAGGGGGTAGCAAATACGGAAAATATCAGGTATAGATTTTAATAGGGATATGTACACATATATTATATCTATGCTGTATATACTAGCTTTCAAGCAAGACAAATGACATGACCAACAGCAACTCTGGTAGCTTTAAAATCACCTGCCGAATGTTCCCAATATTTGAAACAAACAAACAAACAAACAAAGAAACAAACATTTTTCCATTTCTCCATTTCCGTTGCTCGAAAAGGTCTGTGCCTTTGCTGCCAATGCAAATCTCTCGAATTACAGTACCAATTAGGGAAAAAGTGCCTAGGGCAGAGTTTGAAAATCAGGCAACCAGGAATCTTGGTAAAGGGACGAGCTGGCCTTTGCAGCTCCCTGGAGCCATTGCTGCAAATCTGCCTTCAAAGGCTGGGTGGTTCGCACCTCACACCGGCGCTCAGACCGGGTCAAAAACTGTACAATGGTGTGCACAAGCCCTTTACAAAACTGAGATGGGTATTCTTTGTGTTTGGCGGTCTTGAAGCGGCCACACGAATCTCGACCAGCAGTCATATCAGCATGCACATAGAGATCTCTGCAGAAATAAGGCATCGCAAAGCTCAACAACCCAGTGGGTTTAACAACCGAAGCCCCCCAGAGGTATTGGCTGATGTGCGCACATCTGGGTGCTGCCTCAAGACTTCAATGAGAGCACTCGTCCACACACTGGGCCTGCTGGGATCGCGTGGTTGAGCTGGGTGTTCAGAAACGTAGCATCCTCCATAGGCCATATGCAAGCTAAGCGCAAGAGCTGCCTGCTGGAAAAAAAATCCTCCCATGTGACATTGCTTCAATTCGCGCATAGAGAGCCCTTCCAAACCAAACAAGGTATCAGCAGACCTCAATGGTCTAGGACCAGGTCTCGCAGAACCGTCTTCATCTGCGGGCTGGGAATGAAAACGGGCCTCGCTGAAGGTCTCGCAAGGAGAGCCCACCTTTGTAGCAGCTACAACTCCAGCATGATACAATTGAAGCAACATTTTCCACGATGCAGCATTTAATGCTAAATTCCGGAACTCATATGACACCGCAGTGTCCATTGACAACACGATCACTTGGAGGCCTTGTTGGGCGCCAAGCTCATGTAAGTAGGCGTGAACATCATTTGCTCTCCGTCTGCCACTGAAAAGGTGAATCACCAAGAAGGCATGGCTTCCATCTGGTAGCTGCAACTTGGGAACCCTCTGTTCACACGGCAAGTCTAGGAATGAAAGGCTGCGTACACGTCTCTGCCAACTGCTTTGCTCTTCAAAGGCACGCCCAACGACTTGCTGGGTTTTGCTATTGGTTTTGGGGTGTTTGGGCCTTCCATCAAGCTTAGCTGCAGCTCGGTGTGGCAAGGGCTCAGACGGAAGGCAGGTTCAAGCCAGCTTCCAAATGCGCAATGCGGGGCAAGACCTGGAATCTGTCAAGCTGTGCAGCAAAATCCGCATAGAGCTCTTCCACATCATATTCTGCAACCCCATCTTCAAATGTAGCTATAACATCTGGCAACCAATGCTCGCGCCACAGCAGGAAAACTTTCTCGAGCCATGGGTCCAAATTGCGATCAAAGGCGGCTGGGCAAGAGAAAAGCACTTCGACCCAAGCATCCGACAGCAATGCTTTCTCCGGGTCGGATGGTCCTTGTGGGTAGTGGTCAAGAAACCAACGTCGAGTGACTCGCTCCAATGCAACGCCTAAAGCTTCACCAGTAAGCATCTCATCATCAGGTGTTGAAGGGATATTCAGGCGGTCATAGCAAATGGTCAACTCGACTTGCAGTGCTTCCCTACGTTGTTCCGCCCGTCTGTACTCCAACGTGGGGTACAGTCCTAGAAAAAAAATGGTCTAAAATTATGACCCCTAACCTTTGAGAGAGGTTTTAGAGCTTTAAATTCCTGGCTCCTAACCTCTGAAGCCGAAATCTCACTTCCAACCACCTTTTTGAATTTTCTTTGCTAATTTCCTGGTGCCCAACGTCCAACATCCAATAAATTTACCCCTCTGATATCCAAGTAAAAAAAATATTTCCTGGATGCTTGCGTTGGTAACATGCCATATCTTCCCCCCCCTCAATCTGATACGGAAAAAAATGAATTCCTGGCACCTGACTTCCCGGCTGACAGCTTGCAGTTTTTCAGAGTCCCCGGCTTCACGAGTGCGGTCCGGCAGATGCCCACGGCAATGCGCAACCCTTTCGCATGGACAAATGTATCTTCAGGAAAAAACTCCTGTTTTGCAATTTGGCGACACGTTGGAACAAAATTCTTCAATTTGTCCCGTCATTTCCTATCTATGGATGGTTGACCTGGTGATGCGATTTTTTTCCTGTGGGGCCAGCCTTTGAAGATCATCCACAAGAATTCGGCCAAAAAAAGGTCCAGCCCCTTGGATTTTATTTTTGACACCTGCGCCTCGGCCTCTTCAAGTCACCATTTTTTGGTTGGTGAAGCTGAACATATGTGGTTGTACCCTTTTGCAAGGACCAATATTTTTCAGCAAAAAACATATGTTTTGTAATTTGGGCGCGCGTTGACACAAAATTCTTGAATTCGTCCCATCATGTCCTATCTGTGGATGATTGGCCTGGTGATGCGACTTTTTTCCTGTGGGGCCAACCTTTGAAGATCATCCGCAAGTATTCAGTCAAAAAAGGTCCAGCACGTGCGCCTCGGCCTCTTGAAGTCACCTTTTTTGGTTGGTGAAGCTGAAGATATGTGGTTGTACCCCTTCTGCAAGGACAAATGCATTTTCAGCAAAAAACATATGTTTTGTAATTTGGGCGCGCGTTGACACAAAATTCTTGAATTGTCCCATCATGTCCTATCAGTGGATGATTGGCCTGGTGATGCGACTTTTTTCTTGTGGGGCCAACCTTTGAAGATTATCCGCAAGTATTCAGTCAAAAAAGGTCCAGCCCCTTGGATTTTATTTTTGACCCCTGCGCCTTGGCCTCTTGAAGTCACTTTTTTGGTTGGTGAAGGTGAACATATGTGTTTGCACCCTTTTGCAAAGTCATGTAAAGAATCATACCCCCTCAATTAATCATGGTACATTTTTTCCTGGGGTTTGACATTTAGATATGTTCTAGCAAACTCCCATTTAATCCATCCACCTTCAAATTCCTGGCTACCAACCTTGGGAATTCTACAAACTTACCCGTTATCAGAGTCATTCATGATTGATTTCCTGATGCCTTACATACACAGACTGATAGATCAACCCCCCCTCAATCACAACAGGCAGAAATTCATTTCCTGTCACTGTACGTCAGGAAGCTTTCAGGAAAAAAAATCTGGGCCATGATATTTTATTCCTGGCCCCATATCATGCCCCGGGACCCTCACCCACTGTCTGCTAGATTTTTGGAAAATAGTGTTTTTTAAAAAGCGCACTGAACCCCCAGGAAAAAAACTGGTAGTACAGAGGAGGATCGTCAAAGTGGCTGAGTTGGCCTGCAGTCCTTCCACCTGCAAGGCCTCTCGTCGCGAAAGGCCATAGAACTGAGGTCGGAGGCCAGCATCCTCACTTGTCTGCCCTGTTCCACAAGCGCATAATAGCATGGATTGTACCCTAAACCCTTCGGGATGTAGGCGAGGTGCTGCTGCAGTCTTTGGGTTGACCACAGAAATTTCCCACAATGGAGACAGGTGCAACCTTGCAAAAAGGGCCTTTCAAGTGAAAAAATCTGATGTGCTCGCCTTTGATGAGCAAGCAAGCCTCTGTTTGTATCAAATGATCGGCCGCAAACGCAAGTGTAAACATCTTCCAGGTCGACCCCACTCTCAAGAACGTGGCACCTGCAAACTTAAGGGTACGAAAAACTTCACCATGCAGTCTCTTGGCGTCAGTCATGATTGCATTTTGAGTCAGATGCAAATTCCAAGATGTCCCCTCGAGTGCCAGTGTCGCTCCCGGTCTGCCTGGCGATGGCCTCGATGTTGGCCTTTGCGCCTTCCAGGAGCTCAGCCATTTTTGCTTCGGTCTGCTCTTCTTTCTTGAGCTCTCCATATTTGACCTTTGCTTCCACATTGGCCAGGCTGAGCATCTTAGAATCTGTAGCATCATGCCCAAATGCCAAAGCCAACCGGACGCCGCCATCGCCTGCGCCTGTGATGGCTAGCTTAGCATGTCACCCATCTGGCCTGCACCCACTTTAGCCAGCTGAGCTTTAGCCGCCTGCAGCTTAACGGCCAGATCAGACCCTTCGCGGGAGCCAGCCAAAGCTTTCATGCGCGTCAAGTTTGACTTGGGCATTATGATTTCGAGGAATGCGCGGAGCGCGGCATCGCATTCCTCGTTCTTTTCGATTTGGTAGCGCGCTACCCGAAAAGTCTTGCCGGCTGTGAGATACCCAGCCCCAATATGGTAGAGGATGGGTCTCTTGGATATGTCCACAGACCATCGCAGGCACTGCTGGACATGATCCACCACTTCAAATGGCACAAAGGCCGCGTATGCGCTCTCGATGAAGCGCTTGGCAACGGCAACTACGTTGCTTGGATAACGGGCTCCCGCTGGGGATTGTCTCAGTCTGAGTGCCAAGTCGTGCCCGATTCGGAACGCTTCAGAGACAGACCCTGACAATGTAGAGCCTCCGAAGAGCTTGTCCATCTCGCGGTACTCTTCCAACTGGCTGAATGCCCAGCGAAGGCAGCCGCGAGTGGTGCAGAAATGGCCCACCGTCCATACAGCACTCTGCAATTCCTCCGACCTGTTGTGGGCCATGGAGAAAAACTGCATCAACGTATTTTCTGCTATATGACTCCCACGTTGAAGTGGAAGTCGTATGATGATTCGTCAAGTAGAAGCTCACCTTGGTGCTCATTAAGAGCCCAAAGGCCTTGCCTTTGAACTCCCTGTATTTTGCTGCAAGGGCTTGCATGTCAGCCAGGGAATTGTTGGCCAAGGCCGTTTGAGCATACTCGATGCCCTTCTTGATGTAATCCTTCAGCACTGCGCCAGAGACTACAGAAACCTGTGCTTCTGCCTCCAGCGCCGTGGTCGCAACCGTGAAGAACATCTTGAATTGCACGGCCACCATGATCCCAAGGATCAGGAGTAATCCTGCATCGCCGTCAGCCACCAACGCTGATGCGGACTCCAGGGCCCCCAAGGTTGCCAGAGCAATCATCATGGCTTGCTTTCCTGCCAAAGCGATGTTGTAGTCGCCGTCCCTGATGTTAATCCACATCGCTGATGTCAAGATGACACGGACCTTGTGTTGCGGCCCGTTGTCACCAGCAGCGGCCAGGCCAATCATTTCCGGCCCATTGACCGGGGCGACGAAATCGTCCATCCCAGCCAGCAATTCGTCACCAAGCTCTATGCCTTCACCCCCGATGACCTCAGATGCCTCAGCCGCGGAGAGGCCGAGACTCTCCATGTAGGCTTGCGAAGCCTTCGGCCCGGCGGCTTTTGGTGCCGTTGGCGCTGCAGGGGTTGCTGAAGGTGCAGGCGTGCTGCTTGTAGCAGGTGCGGGGGGAGCCGGTGGCGCCACAGGTGGGGCCTTGCCCGTCGGCGCCTTTGGGGGAATAGCCTTAGGCACTCTCCCGGTGCCTCTGCCTCCTTGTGTGCCCGGGCATTGGGACATCTTCACAGCTACGTCTTATTTTCAAATGCCCAACGCCAACGAGAAGTGCTTGAGCCAAAATGGCTACGGAAAAGAAACAAACAAACAAACAAACAAACAGCCCAGGAGAGCAGAAATCAGGTGATATCAGCACGCTCTTTCCTAACTTCAGAAGCCAATGGCTAAAGATACAGTCCAAACAAGAACCAAATCATCATTGGCTATAATTACAACAGTTATATATAGGGGCTTTCCATAAACGGTATCCGTTTTTCAGATGATACAATTGATAACATGGATGATTTAGGGGTCCTATTTCAAAAAACCTCCTACCCTCTGGTAAACGTTTACGTAGCTATTGAAAATGACCATTTCAATGGGTAAATCCACTATTTCTATGGTCATTTTCCATATTTATGACAGTTTACCAGAGGCCAAGATCCCCAGTTTTGGATGCTGAAAAACCACATCGCCGCCCGGAAAAAATCCTGGGCTGTGGCACTTGACCTCCGGGCCCATCTGTCGGGCAACCTGGTTGGCCGCGCCAGTTGGCTGGCGGCGGTGGCACTGGATATGGGAATTCAATGGAAGATCATAGGACTAATAGGACTATACCTGGTTGGTAAACTGCCCTCTGGTAATTTAACATAGCTATTGAAAATTGCCATTTATAGTGAGTTTTCCTATTAAAAATAGTGATTTTCCATCGTTATGTTAGTTTACCAGAGGGTAACATCACTATTGAACATCACCATATTAATAGGTTGATGATCTGTAAATGGAAAATTGCAGGAACTTGATGGAAATTGACATCACTTGTTAATAGGAAAATCAACTCTATGTGGGAAATTGATGGAAATTGTCCATAACTATGACAAATTATCACATTGTAATGGGGAAACCAGCCATACTTAGGTTTTCATTGGATTCGTTGGGAACATCTTAACCGGAAGCCAGAAAGGCTTTGATCATCAAAGTGATCGTGACTTCCTGTGGTCCCTGGGGGAAAGGCAGGGCAATATGGGATATGGAAAATAACGGGATGCTTACTGGTGCTTAGTAGGGAATGGATGGGAATGGGGGAATGGGATTATTATTACTAGTGATTATGGATCATTCCCGAAAATTCCCTGCGTTTAGCACCAGTAAGTATGTTATTATGCATCATGATATGTTAAATTAAAGGTAAACCAATGTAAATCCTGCGGATGAGACAATAGCCCAGCTAGATTAATTTTGTGTATCCCCTGTTCTATCTGGAGAATCATCTGGAAATCACAATGCGGGGCCAAGGCCAATCTCAATCTATGGGAAAATTCAGGGAATGGGTCCCAACATGAATGGTTTCTGTTGGAGGAGATGATAACAAAGCCAGGCAAGTTGTATTTAGTGACTGCGTAATTTCCGAAAATCCCCCGGCTTTGGACATGATTGGAGAAGATGGCGAAGTTATTTTTTAACTAGCTCAATTCGATTCTTGCAGATATATCTTGAGTTAGATGGGTTATTCCTTGACTCTGTAAAAAAAAGTGGTGACTGGATCAGAGGGATGACCGATGTATGGTTACTAGCTCCCAGACATCACCATGGCGCCATCTTAGTAAAGCAGTGTCATCAACCCAGAAATGTTGGTTATTGATTGTTCATACCACCAGATACCACAAATTTCTGTGGTAAAATTGAGGATGGTGGATCTCGGAAAAACAAAACATGCAGCATCCTCACAGGTCTCGAGCCAAGTCAAGACTATTATCCATTAATCCATAATCCATAATCCATAATCAAAAATATGAGTTCGTCAATGGGAAGGATTATCCCCATACATTATGGAAAATACCCTCTGGTAAACTAACATAGCTATGGAAAATTGCCTATTTATAGATAGCTTACCTCTTCAACATGGTGATTTTCTATAGTTATGTTAGTTTACCAGAGGGTAAAACATTGATCATCCACAGATCGAAATGGCCAACACAAGTGGTGATCTTCTGAGCAGCTTTCCCCGCCTTCACATCTCCCTTGACCTCGGTGCAAGGATTGGGGCCATTGGGGCCGTTTGGGCCGTTTGGGCCTGCCAGCTGACCGCTATTTGGAGTGTCCTTTTGAATGGTGATTTGATGGTTATTTGATGGGATTTAATGCTGCAACCGTATGGTGATTCAATAGATCTTAAATTAAGGAATAAAAACCCTCCTGTAAATATACAAAAGATGTGAAGAATCAGCAATCAATTTGTAGATCCTTTTTCCAAACCGGAAACTATGGCTGTTCCGCTGCCATAGCCGCACAGCATTTGCAGCTCCAGTGACAGCTCGGGCAAATTGGATCTCCAGCGCCTGGCTCCTCCGCCTCTTCCATGACAGTTTTGCCGCCACCCTTGCCGCCTTGATTGGTCACTCGCAAGATCCGCGGCTGTTTGCCCTTGCCCATCACCGCCAGCTCATGTTCGGACTTTGGGTGCTGTGCTGGACGGTTGCACCTTCTTCTCGAGTGCCTTTCCGCGCCTCTGACGCCACCACAGCACTGTATGGCCATCCATGTTAAATTTAGGTCAGGGGAACAACAAAACTATCTGTCAGAACATTACTTACAAGAACAGAGCTTGCATACATTGGAGTTCGAGTTTGGATCCAGCACATGCAACTATATGAGCAACAGAAGTAGAACATGTAAGAAACATCGCATTTGCCCTGTTTGATGTCACCGGAGATTAAAACGAATAAACCACGTCGGCTCCATTCATGCTGTGGCTTTAGGAATGAAAACCATATCCTCACGTAACCCATTGAAAAAACCTCAGTAAAGTAGTCAAACATAGCAATTGAATATTCATGGGCATCACCATTTGAAGATAGAGTATCCCACATGCCATAATCTAGATAATTCTATAATCATGCGTCCCTTAAGATTGCTGTTTTGTGGGTACATACCCCGGTCTCAAACACACTCCACTTATTTTGGGAGGCGAATCATCTTCAACCAGATGTTTGTTTTTTTGACTGCTGCAAAACACGTACCGTAGAAAAAGCAACATGAAGATCTTTGGTGGACGATAGTTGTTAGATACCATCCAGTAATCCAAGGTGGCAATTAAAAAAAAACATCTTACAATCTGGTTGGTGGTTTCAACTCCTCTGAAAAAATATGAAAGTCAGTTGGGAAGGATTATCCCATATATGAAATGAAAAATAAAAGCCATGTTCCAAACAACCAGTCAGATTTTGGGTGAATGGTTTCTGAATGGTGCAGAAAGTAGCTTCGCTTCCTTAATTTTCCCTTTTTTGAGTTCATCGTATCTGCATGATAGACCCATATGAGTTCATAGGAACAAAGCCATCCCATTTCATGGGAATCCAAAAGAAGCCTGAACATCGGTTACCTGGGAATGTTGTTGCATTGAAGATATTAAAGTTTTGTACAATGTGCGGCCCCCCAGGTGATGTTTTTTGGTTTATAAACCCCATGAAGACTATAGTTATAGGTATCATTCACGATAGTTTTGTAGGTATTTTTATAGATGCTTGGGGCCATCATGCGCACCAGCAGCGCACCTCCATCTCTGTCACGGTACAGCCATCACTGGGTCTGCTGATTTGAAAAATTGGGTCTGCAGTGCTTATGTTGCTGGAACTTTTGCGAGATCCCAGCTCAATATACTTCAAATCTCCAACACCAGCTATAGATTCGATAAATGTCACCAGATTGCCAAAGACCTGATAATGTTAGTTGAAATATGTGACGATACCAAATACCAACGGGAACAAAAATGGTAAAATGACAGCAACGCAGCTTTGCGTCCTCAGCTCCAACCAAGCTCCCGATTTCGGATGTGTTTGTTGGCATTGCTTGGTCCATGTGAGAACTAAAGCTGCAAACTCTTCGAATCTTGGAAATCTCCATTGGACATGTGCACATGCGCACATGTGCAAGTACTGACCCTATGATTTAACTATGTTTAATTATACCATCTGGTTATTTAACATAGCCATGGAAAATCACCATTTTTAATAGGTAAACCATCTCTAAATGGGCCATTTTCCATAGCTATGTTAAATAACCAGAGGACAACCCTCCAAAAAGATAAAGAACAATCGTTTATCACTGCGATTCATAGCTATATCACTATATCAAATGGTGGTTTGCTATAGATGATTCAGTTTTCAGCGGAGTGCACCGTACAACCTGATGGTTTTTTGAACTGGATATCCCTAATAGATTATGATTCTCCCAGCTATTTTGATTAAGGATACTGATTATTAGATTATGATGATTCTGATGATTATCCCCACTATTTAGATGACTATTAGAATACACTAAAATAATCAGCCAACAGGGGTTTGCCACTGCTCATACGGAATTTCCCACGGCTTCGAAACTTCCAGCCGAATGCAGCTAAGTGCATTCTCTTCCCTAACACTCAAACAAACGAACATGTATATTGTATATCGAATCATAACATGTGCATACAAGATATTCCAAGAAAACACACATACATATATTACATATATTACATAACTTACATATATTACATAACTTACATATATTACATATATTACATATATTACATAACTTACATATATTACATATATTACATATATTACATATATTACATATATTACATATGTTTTGATGTGGACGATGATTTTAGTCATGATAAATCCATCAAATCTGGGTATTTCAGCCCTGAAAGTTTACCCATATGGAGATTCTGCTTGCGGAAGTCGCGACTCCACAGGATGAAGTCACAAAAGCAGTGCGGGATCGGCAAGTTGGTTCCTAAGACAGATAGTATTTCGATATGTGATATATATATATGTATATAGTCAAAGGAAGTTTAGGGGGAGAAACTTCCGTGTTACGGACTTTTAGAATGTCAGGGAAAGAGTTAGTCAAAGAAACAGTTAGTGAGGGAAAGAGTTAGTCAAAGAAAGAGTTAGTCAAAGAAACAGTTAGTCAGGGAAAGAGTTAGTCAAAGAAAGAGTTAGTGAGGGAAAGAGTTAGTCAAAGAAA